TCTGAAGTGCTCCAAATGATCAGCCCCCTTCAAAAATGGCCTTCGGGGGGTATTTATAACCCATAGGAACAGTTGGCGGAAAACAGGCTCGCGAGACAGCATTTGCTATCTCGCGGGCGAGACAGTGTTTGCTGTCTCGGCCCGCGAGACAGTAAACACTGTCTCGGAAACAGTAACCGCAGGTAGTTTTCATCTTAACTGCCTTCCCACGTTTCAAACTCCGTTATTTTGGCAGTTATCCGCGTGATTCTCGCCCACGACGCTTCCCACGTTCTTGAACAGTTAATGGACGTGTGTGGGGCAGTTGTTCAAGGTGGTTTCTGACCATCTCAAAGCTGTCTCGCTGGCGAGACAGCAAAGTCTGTCTCGCTGGCGAGACAGCAAAGTCTGTCTCGCTGGCGAGACAGTTTATATCTGTCAGTTTTGAGTGGTTTTCCCTATGTTTGAATATCTTTCAGCATTTTTTGACGCCTACATGGGTTTCCTTATATTTTTATACGATAAAATCAAGTACTTTTGCTCTAATTGTTTTTCAACCGAACACTAAATTTGCATTGGATACACGAATATAATTCAAGTTTATTGAGAGAAATGCGTTTTCCATCAAACACTCTAATTGCATTGGAAAGAAGGATACATTTCAAGTTTATAGGGGAAAATGTTTTTGACGTAACACTGAGTTTGCATTGGAAACACGGATATATTTCAACCAATATCTTCCCCCCCCCCTGTAATATATTTTTTATGACAAATCAACAAACAAATACAAATGTAGAGAAAATAAAGGTATGAGAAGAAAACATGGTTTTTATCGAAGAAAAGAAAAGACAGGTTTTGTCCTTGAAAGGAGTTGAATCCACAAACCCTTAATAGAATCCCTGAGGCTCTCACCAAAACAGAAGAGAGGATGGTTTGAAAAGGAGAAGTGAATGTTACTTATAGATACATGAAACCCCTTAATATAAAAAGGCAGAGACTTATTATCATTTTCTTTTTACTTTTTTTATTTCTTTCTTTTTCAAGTATGAATATTAATTCAACTCTGAAGCTAGAACTGTTGGAAACATAACATACAATGCAGCAGAAAATTACATATCATGTAGATTAATCGAAATTAATAAAATCTAGAAAAATACCTAAAACGCCTTTTGAATTTCTTTGATAATTCGTCCCAAGATCAAAACAAAATAGCTTACTCAAGAGAAAAACCTCCAACTAAAATCCACCCATCACCGAAGAGGAGCAATACTGAGAGATAGGTTCTCAAAATCTATTTTCCTTTTTTTCTCTCTTTCTTATCATCTTTCAATGCTACACATGAACCCTATATATAGGATTGGACCCGCCTTATAGATTTCAATTTCAAAACAATTCTTAATTGTTTAAAACTCTATCCATAACATTTAAAGATAGAATATTCTTTCCATAACAATTAGGATATAAATAGAATTGTATTGCACATAAACCTCTTCTAATGACATTAGTGAGACAAATTGGGTCCCATATCGAGAACCAATTATTAATCAAATTAATAATTTAATTTAACAATCAAATCCATATCCGACCAACTGTTCATAAAAGCTCTTACATAATATGGGATTAAATATTCGTGAATAATATTATCTTGCATTTAGTCCCCTCCAGTATCAGTTTATTTTAGGAAACTTTATTGAGCAGGACGAATCACCTATTTGCTCATTCCTAAAATTGCAATCTCATGAACATAAATAAAAAACATTTTGAAACATTAAAATATTTTATTTTATAGGAAAATCATTTTAAAAAATCACCCGTCGACGGGAATTTAATATCTTCACGGGATACGCATAATAAATTAACTCATAAAAATGAGTATACTGGATCCTATCTAGATATTCATCATTTTCCTAAATGAAATCTAATAACCCAACATTTCAGGTTGTATAGCACTTGTAAAACAAGCTTAACCATCATATCCCAACATTTCAGGTTGTATAGCACTTGTAAAACAAGCTTAACCATCATATCAAAGTATATTAGATTATCAAATCGAAAATTGTAAAACAAGCTTAACCATCATATCAAAGTATATTAGATTATCAAATCGAAAATGATAATATCATCAAGCCTAAGGGACCATGTAACAATTCGAGTTATCTATCTCTTAGGTGACTCGTCCTAGAGAATCCAAATAAGGTCTTGTACTACACATATCAATATGCGTTTATGACATACACCCGGGGAATCTTCATTCCCGATAGCTGAGATCAACCATCACATCTCATATGTCGTTGTCATGCATAATAACATGTTATAACAAATCTATCCTTTACTAGTTATAGGTTAAGCATAAATTTAAGAAATATCTGATTAGATCACATCTCCAAGTAAGTGATCATCATAGTGCATGATCTAACAAAACAATCTCTAAGGATAATATAACAATTATATAAAAGATACCCAAACAACATGTGCAATAATAAATTCAATTAAAATTCAATAAAATTGTATTGGATGTTTAATGGCATATAACACTACTCTAGCAATCTCCCACTTGCCCTCACATCCAATCAGATACAATCCTAACTCCCATTTTTTAAATGTCTGTCAAAAATCTTTTGTGACAACGGTTTTGTGAAAGGATCTGCAATGTTATCCATTATAGCAATCTTTTGAATTACCACATCTTTCCTGTTGTGAATCTCTCTAACGAGATGATATTTCCTTTCAATGTGCTTAGACTTCTGATGAGCTCTTGGTTGTTTAATTTGAGCAACAGCTCCACTGTTATCGCAGAACAATGGAATAGGAAATACACTAGCAGAAACTATATCAAGGTCACGGACAAACTTATTTATCCATACTCTTTCTTTTGCGGCTTCACTTGCTGCTACATAATCTGCTTCGGTTGTAGAATCAGCGGTGACATTTTGCTTAACACTTCTCCAACTAAAAGCACCATTATTGATGTTATAAACATATCCAGATGTAGACTTTCTAACATTTGGATCGGATTGAAAATCAGAATCAGTATATACTTCAATGCTCATGTCATTTACATCATAAACTAAACAATAGTCTTTAGTTCTACGCAAATATTTAAATATGGCTTTCACTGTAGTCCAATGTTCCTCACCAGGATTGGGCTGAAATCTACTTACAAGGCCAACAACATATGCTATGTCAGGTCTTGTACATAACATATTATACATCAAACTACCAACTGCCGAAGCATATGATATATTTCTAAAACTCTCAATCTCCTCTTTAGATTTATGACACATTCTCTTTGAGAGTGAAATTCCATGTCTTGTAGGAAGTAATCCTTTCTTGGAATCTTGTATGTTGAACCTTCTGAGGATCTTATCCACATAAGTAGACTGTGATAATCCTATACATCTCTTCTCTCTATCTCTATAGAGTTTGAGACCCAAAATATAGGATGCTTGACCAAGATTTTTCATAGAGAACTTGTTTGAAAGCCATAATTTAACTGATGTCATCATACCTACATCATTCCCAATGAGCATAGAGAACTTGTTTGAAAGCCATAATTTAACTGATGTCATCATACCTACATCATTCCCAATGAGTAGTATGTCATCAACTTAACTGATGTCATCATACCTACATCATTCCCAATGAGTAGTATGTCATCAACATAAAGCACTAGGAACATAATAGAATTATTCTGTTGTTTCTTATACACACAAGTTTCTTCAGAATTTTGGATAAAATCACATTCTTTAATTGTTTTATCAAAACGAATATTCCAACTCCTTGAAGCCTGTTTAAGTCCATAAATTGACCGATTCAATTTGCAAACCATACTTTCTTGACATTTACATACATAACTTTCTGGTTGCTGCATGTAAATATCTTCTTCAAGCTATCCATTTAAGAAAGCTGTTTTGACATCCATTTGCCATATCTCATAGTCATAATATGCAGCAATGGTTAAAAGGATCCTAATGGACTTTAACATTACAACCGGAGAAAATATTTTCTCGTAGTCAATATCCTCCTTTTGAGTATAACCTTTTGCCACTAAGCGAGCTTTATATGTCTCTACATATCCATCAACTCCATATTTTCTTTTAAATATTCATTTGCATCCTATAGGTTTTACCCCAATAGGTGGATCAACCAAGGTTCATACCTTGTTATGATGCATGAAGTCCATTTCGGCTTTCATGGCATCAACCCATTTACTAGAATCTATGTCAGACATAGCTTCTTTGTAAGTTATAGGATCTTCATCATCCTCTTTATTTTCCATCAAATATGTTTCATCGAGGTGCCTGTACCGTACAGGTGGATGAATGATCCTACTTGATCTCCTTATTGTAATTGATGTATCAACAACAGATTTAGTTAATGAACCTTCATTCACTTTATCACTTGACACTCCTACTGAATCAATAAAATCTTCAACGGTGTTTGGAGTCTCTCCCACTAGATCAGATAACTCTCCTATCGAAGAAGAAGATTCTTCTTCTAGAGTTATAGATCCTTGACCAACAATTTGATCTTCTAGAAAGAATGCATTTCTACTAACAGTCATTGTCTGATCACTGGGGTTATAAATATAATACCCAGTACTTTCTTTAGGATAACCTAAATGTATGCTGGCATATTTTGACATGATGGAATGGTCATATTTTCTGTTTAGAACTTTGTTATAGGACTTAAGTTGGTCCAGTTATTAAATCCATCCATGTCACTTCTTTTTTTAGAGATCTAATTTCTTTACACAAGATTTTTAATTTATATCTTCTGAATTCTGAATCTAAAATATATTCACTACTTTCCTAATCTTTTTTATTTCTGCTTAGATTCTTGGTTCCTTCAATGGATTTGTATTAGCATCAAGCAAACTGTTTTTCTTACTTTGTTTTGGGTTATCTGACATATGTTATCACTACAATTTTTTGGGCTCAAGTACACACAATATACTGTCCCTCTTGGCTCTTGTCCCTCTTTATTGTTATGCCTAATGTTTTCTATGGTGGTTTGGTTAGGAACTGGAGGAGAGGTCCCAATGGAAGAGTAGATGGCATGATCAGGTAACCGAGTTGAAGAGGAGGAGCACGGACAAAGGTTCCGAAGAAAATCTTTCATGGGGAGCTCGAATGAGAAGTCAAAGAGCTAAATCATCGACATAATAAGTGTTGGATGTTTTGTTGGAAAAAAGGCAATTGTGCCTTCATGAATAGTAATGAGTTTTGTAATCAAAACATGTTTTAATTAGCAAATAAAAAATAAGCGTAACGGCTATACATTATGGGAAAAGTTACAAAAATTAATGACGAACGTTACTGTATTTAGTGCGGGTTTTGTAACGGCTCTGAGGCTCCGACCCTATATATAGAGCCCTCTCATTCTTGTTTCTACACAGAGCAAAAAGTCTCTTCTTATCTCCTCTCAACTAAGTCTTTCTCCCTCTCTCTCTCTCTCTCTCTCTCTCTCTCTCTCTCTCTCTCTCTCAAGTTTCAGTTACAGTTTTATAGTTTTATTGTTTACTTTTGGGCAATCTGTTCATCTGAGCAGAAGCTCTGTTCTCTTGTCCGAGTACAGAGGCCGGCCGTTTTCGGGGGTTTTTACCGCTAGGGGAGAGGGGATCATTTGCACCAGGGCAATATGCGAGTCCTCAATCTTCTAGGGCAGTGTTTACACGACCGCTCCCGTCAGGCCTGATATTTTCTAACTTAAACTATTATATAATATTACATAATTTATTTTAGAGTATTTGTTTACTTTATTCGGATTTATCTGCATGCTATAACCCTTAAATGTTAGTATATTCCCAACATTCTAGAAGATTAGTATAGCTGTTTAATTATTAAATCCGAAAATAATTATAATTATCTATTTTTGAAAATAGCTACTGTTCATTCGAAAATTAATCCGAAATATTTTTCTGCCTCTATTCAAAATATACTTTACTGTAGCAATTTGTCGTGCCATTCAAAAATAGTAAAATTATAAATTATTGTTCGAAAATGTGAAACCCTCTGCGTTCTATTCACTGTTGCTACTACTGTGATGTAATCATAAGATTGGAATGTTCACTTAGGGAGCTAACCTTGCTTTATCTTATGCTTCTTGTTGGCTTGGAAAAGTCACTGAAACAACAAATTATACAAATTCTCAGTTTTACCCCTGCAAATTCTTTATTCTAATTAAATGTTTGCAGGAAATATTTAAAGTCACTATTCACATATATTGGTACTCTTTGCGGTTACTATTTATGTATTTACTGCTTACAATTACTGTTTATGTACAGCTCACAATTACTGTACACGTATTTGACAGTTCATAATTACTGTACACATACTTTACTGTTCACAAATTCTGTACATGCATCAATTGTTCATAATTACTGTACACATTCACTGTTACAATACACAGTTACTATTCACATATATTGTTAAGGAATAAAAATCCATTAAGTGAACCGGTTCAACTTTGGTTGGATTAGTTGGTGTCTAAGGCAATGTTTAGGGGTTGCGTAACGCGCTCTACAAGGAACGATGTACTTAATTGATCTTTGATCAACCTCTAGTACTATCCTTACCTAGCTAACTATCCGGGTAAAACTTTAATCTTTTCACTTTAGGAGTTTTTGGTTAGGAACTGGTCCAGTTCAGTTTCTAGTCTAGTGGTTTTAACAAAAACCTTTTTATCATATCCTTTGAAAAAAATAAAATTTTTGAATCAAATGTAATAATATTTATGAAATCTTCCCTCACCGATCTCGGGCTACGCCTACGGGTATAGGCCTTGTTTGGGTATGGGGGGTATGGTTGTTTAGTTAAGTTATTTTATTTATAGCTTTTTACAATCATATGCAATATTATTAATTTATTGCATATCATTCGAGATGGTTTTTTCCATATAAATTAGCTTATACGTCATATGTTTATATGATTATATTTATTTGATAATTCTTATAATTCCATATGAAACATTTCATATTCAAGCATGTATAAGAGAACCAGAATAATGAGAATAATCAATATGCATAAATTTTAAATTTGGAAAGTCTCTTTTATAGAATACCATTTTTTAATTTGGAAGGTCTCTTTTGTAGAAAACCAATTTAAATTTGGAAGGTCTCTTTTGTAGGCAACCAATTTAAATTTGGAAGGTCTCGTTTGTAGGCAACCAATTTACAACCTCTTATAGTAGAAAAATTTAAAATTTATGCATATGAAGTATGAAATATACTTTAAGATATGAAATCTTATTATAAGGTTCTCTTGAATGCTTTGCATGTAACTATTATTAATTTTATTCATGTATGTGTATATGCATGCATGTAAAGATATAACTGCAGTTTTTTTTATTTCCACATTAGTTTAAAATGTTCAGATATTAAAGGCAAATTCTAATCTGAACAAACCCTATGAAAGAATCAATTTTATATCTCTTATTTTGACTATGGGGGTGTTTGGTTGCACAATTTTATAGAAAAGTTTTCTCAAAATGTCTGACAATGACAATTCTGTAATTAGAATTTTTCTGTAGATTTCCGTAAAGTGTGTTTGGTTCAAAAATTTTTTATAGAAATGTTTTCTATAAAGTACCAAAAAGTACTAAAATTTACAGAAATCAATTTCCTCTCAAAATGAACGGAAATCACCCAGAAATCTGACACCACATTGACATTTTTCTATAAAGTTGACACTTTTCTATAAATTTAGGGGGTGTTTGGTTCAATTTCTACAAATTATAGAAAATCTTGCTATTTTCTATAAAGTTATGGGCTATTTTCTTATTTTGAACCAAACAAGCAAAGTAAAAAAAACAAAAAAATTGGTACTTTTTGACTTTTCAAAACTTTTCCTATAATTTTTTTAAGAAATACAAGGTGTAACAACCGTAAATTTTAATACGTATTTAAATAAAATTTTCTAGTATTCAAAATATTATATTGTATTTTATTAATACTTTTCCTAATTTTTGGAATTTTCTGAGTTTTCAAAATAAATAAATAATAAAAATATAGTCTTGTATTTTAATTCCGCTAAATATTAATTTACGGTTTAGTGATTTTTGTATATAATCATTTGGTGATTAATATTATTAATGACATTGTTATTATTGATGTAGTATATAAATATTAATAAAAAGATTTTTGGTTGATGATTAATTATTAATATATTTCAGAATATTAGGTGAGATTTTCGAATTTTCCCTCTCTTATTTTCTCATTTGAATTATTTCCTAATCCCTCCAAAATCAATTTCTAATCAACTTGTAAACTCATTCCTTTTTAATTCCGAAACTTTCTCTCTCTCCATATATTTTGTCAACCTTCTCCGTATCAAATCCTATCATATTTTTTTTATGCACAAAATCTTCCCTATCTTTCAAATCTCAAATTTTTCCATAATCAAATCTTTTCTCTCTCCAAAGTTTTTAAAATCACAGCCAAATCTTTTATCTCCCGTACTCCCACTATAAAGATATACATATAATACCTAACCCTAACCTAACCTAACCTATATATATATATATATATAGGTTCTCTTCTCTTTCTTCACGTGAACAACCCAGCAGTCACCCTCATCCTTCTCTTTTTCCTTCGTTCCCAGAGAGCGCCGCCAACCCACCTCCTCCCTTTCTCTCCCTCGTTTGCTCCTACCGCCCCTCTCTCCTCGTCATCCCCACCTCCGACGAACGTCGCCGCCCTCCGTCTAGCTCCGCTTCGCCGACCGGCTTTCGCGCTTCAGCCGCTCGCCCTGTCCTCCTCCGAAACCCGAGCCCTGTTCGCCGCTGCACCCGAGCCTGCCGCCTTCGCCGTGACCCGCAGCCGCCGCCTCGAAGACGCCGCCTCCCCTGACCACCAGCTTCGCCGCCGTTCAGCCAGCAGCCCCCCGACGAACCAGTCCTCCCCTCCCCTGTTCTCCGCAGCGACGACCCCCTCGACGACCACGCCGTCGAGCCCTCACCCCGCTGCCGCTCGCCTCCGACAGACCGAGCCTCATCCTCGTCAGCAGCCGCTCGACAGATCCGCACTGTCCCGAGGCAAGATCTCGCATCTACATATTTTTCTCGCTTTACAAATATTATCAAATAATTTAATTAGATTTGATAATGTTGGTAATGTGCATATTGTGAATATTTGAAGTGGAATGTGGATAAATAGTATTATATAATGTTTTAGAGGTAATATTGAGATATTTTGTGGTAATTATGTCGGAGAATTTAACGAGCATGAAAGGATGAGTATATGCGTTGTAAATAGATTTTACGAGACATTAACAATTTTGTATATTTATGTATAACTATTTTCGGACAAGAAATGATAAGTTATGTGTTAAAATTAGAATTTACGTAATTTTTATTGAAAAGAAATTAATTAAGGAAAATTCATGAAATAGGAAAACATTATTTTCATGCAGAAAGGAATTACTATATGATATTATATAAATCATTGTTATTTTAATTTAGTTATTATGAGAAATAGTTTAAAGAATAAATTTTGGGAAAAGAATATTATTATTTATGATAGTATGACTGATCGTCGTAGAGCACGACATTTCATGTGCAAAACGACATCGGTTTCTAGTTTTCTTTTTACTGTATTATTATATTAAAGAATACGTAAGTACGGATATTTTGTATGAGAAGTTCGGACATCCCAGTAGTAAGATAGTAATGAAGCTCCCTCATGTTTTACATTCATGTTGTATTTTGTTTAAGCATTTCATGTTCATTACAGTTCTTTATTTCTGCTTCATAAACTGCTTAATCATGTTAAATATGCCTTATTATATTTATGATCTGTTGATGTGTTGAGAACCTTAGTAGTTCATGACTTAGTAGCCTTGGGCGTCATGAACAGACTTAGTGACATGTGTAAGTTTAGGCGGTGAACCCGAGTTTCAAAGGGATTATGGTTAACTTAGAAAAACGAGAAGAGTTGGGATGGGGAAGTCCTTGTTCATGTGATCGGATATAACTGTTGATGTATCTTCCTGACTCCCCCATGATCCAGTGTAGCTTGGGGTTAGTTTGTTGGGCCAAAGTGAAGCCAGTGTAGTCACTTTGGTCCGTGAATTGAATATTCACCCGGGTTTAACTTGAGTTCGAACCAGGTTAAAAACGGATTACGTGTAGCCCTCTGACCGATCCAGTGTAGCGGCGTATTGGGTATACGTAGAGGATTTGTGAACAGTCAGATATCCGGTGATATGAGTGATGACTTGTGTGAGAATTGACCAGTGACTTGTTACAGGATGGATCAGGCATAGGAATTAGTTT